CCCTTCCCCCCTCTCTCTCTTTTTTCATATACCCACTGCCAAGAATAAACTAGTAGTCATACTATGACCTTTGTGCTCCTCTTCTACCTTGAGAGAAATAAAATCAACCCCGTTCGATCCTCCCGACATCTAATCAATCTCCCTCCCACCTTGGTCCCACCACACCCACCATTTTCAAGGCTCATCTTACTGCTCAGAACGGACAGACTCGGTTGCCGTAGATGTCCTTCCTCGGTAGTATATACGAGTACCTGTATGCGCTTCTAACGTAAACCCGTCAGATGCACCTAACACGGAGCACTCCGCTTTCGCTCTCCTCGTTACTAACTCCTTTTTGTCTTTTCTTTTCCTTTCCTTTCTTTTCAGTTCTTTCTTCTTTGCGCCTTCTGTCTGCAACTCTGTGTGTGTCTGGCTGTGAGGCGAGACGCAATGCAACACATCAAACTGACGAGCCAAGGTTCGATGCCATTTCATATCTGCTCGAGTCCTCATATAATTGGACAAGTGTTGATACCAAACTTGACATGACCCTGCGCTGTTCCCTCGTACGTATATGTTACATGAGCACATATCATTACATATACATAGCTAGTGGTGGTACTGTACTCTGTGCGTCTGCCATAGTACCTACTTACGAATCATCGCCTACTCTACCTCATCACTTCAACTTCCTCCTCCCCCCCCACCCACCTCTTCAGTCTCACATTCCCCCCATACGAGTACAGTCTAGTCCAACACTGTCTCTCCCTGTGAGACAGCGATTGCCTGCATGGCGGGCCGCAAAACAAAAAGAAAGAAAGAGATGGTAGATAAAACAAAAATAAATAATAAAAAGAAGAAGAGAAAACGAACGATTATGACGACATCTTCTCTCCCCTGAGCCTACCTGTACATTTTTCTATCCGTAATAGCACATCCTCACTGTCTATCAATCTTTTTTTTTTTAAAAAAAAAAAAAAAGAGAAAACATTCCCATCCTGATCTTGGCCCTTAATCTCAGCTGAAATCTTGAGGGTACTTTTTGCTTTCGTTCAATCTTGGAATCTTGATATGGGGATGAAAACACACAAGACAGCCCACCACAGTTTTACACAGAACCTCTTATCGATCCTCAGAGAGAGAGGGTGGGTGGATGGTAAGCGAAATAATTTTAACCCGGTCATCTTTACCGAGTGGCGAGTATTCACCCGATATAAGCACTATATACGCCGTGGACCGTGCGGCGCGAATTACAACATCTCTTACGTTTTGCTTTTGTGTGTTGAGTTTTCTTTAGAGGGAGAAAAAGAATGAGAATGTATGTTCGTAGACTGACATGCACGCACCTGCAGCCCACCCCGATTGCGGCATTACATTCTGCCATGCTGTACGGCGGAAATCCCCGCTGTGGATTCTTTTATTTTTTTTGTTTCTCTGACCAAGTGCGCCGATCGTGGAGAAGGAAGACAAGAAAGAAGAGAGAAAGAAAGAAAGAAATCCTCTGGAAAGAAATGCGGGTACTGTAGTCAGCATTCTCCATACTTGTTCACATGTCTCAACTCGTACTTACATGAACCAGAGACAGAGACGTGGTCCACGGCAAGTATTGGGAGGTCGAGTCGAATGACGTATTCATATATATATATTCGTCATGTCTTGCTGTATTTTGACCTTGTCGTTGTAGAATTGCGAGACAAGAAAGATATGGGAGGGGAGAGGATAGAAGATGAGAGAAGCAAGTAAATCCTCACCACCAACATCCCCTCCCACCTTCCCCTTTCCGTTTGAAGGTCCGCCCCCAATCGTCCTATCTTCTTCCTCGTTGTCGGCCTCATTCCCATTCTCAGCATTGCAATCTGAAGAAGAGGATGAGGAGGAAGCGTTTTCATTCTCGTCGCCATACTTCACACTCCCCTTGCTCTCCTTGCTCTCCTTGCTCTCCTTGCTCTCCCTGCTCTCCTTTCTCTCCTTGCTCTTCTTGCTCTCCTTGCTCTCCTTCTACTTTCTCCATGGCCACCCCCATCTTGCTCTTCTCCTTCCTCTTCTCCTTCCTCTTCTCCTTCTTCTTCTTCCTCTCCTTCTTCATCTCCTCCCTCCTCTTCTTCTTCTCCAGCTCCGTCTTCTCGCCCTTGGCTTTGCGCGTCTGCACGATCCACTCGTCCGTTGCGGCAATAGCCGCCAGGGGGTCGCGCTTGTGCTGGAGGAGGAGTCCCTGGAGTTCGGCCGGACTAAATTCGGAGGGGGGCACCTTGGCCGCAAACTGCTCCGCTAGCTCGCTGACCTTCTTCATCGTGTACTCCCTCGCCTGCTCCGGCACCTCAGTCTTCTCGGCATTGATAGACCCCTTCTCCGACGCCGTGTGGACCAGAGGAAGAGCCTCTCCCTCAGATGGGCCGTATATGGCGCGGAAGATGAGTGAGGTCATCTCGGCGTCGGCGTTGCCAAACTCTATACTCATATCGATGCGACCTGGTCGTACTAGTGCCTCATCTAGCTTTTCCACGTGTTTCGTCGTCATGATGAGTACGCGGCCCTCCTGGGATGCCACGCCGTCGAGCACGTTGAGGAGGCCAGACAGGGAGATGCGGCTCTCCGACGTCTTGCTGGCGTCCGGGTCCCGGGTCAGGTTGACGGTGTCGTCCGTCGCCATCGTCGCCTCCTCGTCGCGGCTGTGCGTCAGGCCAGCCGTGTCAATGTCTTCGAGGAGTACGATGCAGCGGCGTGGGAGGTCAGAGAAGAGCGAGACCACACTCTCGTCGGTGGTCGAAGGAGAGTTGAGACTGACAATGTAAATCTTCATCTCAAAGTAGCCCGCCAACGCCAGACTCAGCGAGCTCTTGCCCGTTCCAGGAGGTCCATGAAGAAGGTAGCCACGACGGTAAGGGATGCCGCGGTTCGCGTACCAGAGGCGCGTAGCCGGCCGAAGATAGTCGGCCATGTCGGCTATCAACTTTTGCTTCAGGCTCTCGTTGAGAATGACGGTAGCAAGTGGCCGACGGATGCGTGTCATGCAGCGCCTCCAGCCAGGGCCCCTCCAGCTACCCATGTTGCCGCGGTAGATGATGGTATTCCTCTGCTCCTTGGCAATGTACAGCTCCCGAGCCTCGGCGAGAAGGTCCCTGATGGAGTCCGGGGTGCGTCCAAAGCACGAGATGTACACCTCTTCACCGCGTAGGAGGCTCCGGCTGAACTTTTCGCGGTTCTCGCGGCGCTCAAACAGGAACGGGCGCCCGCGGTAGAAGAGAAAGTGGTTTCCGTATGAGGGTGTGCACTGGACCTGTTTGTGGGCGCGACGTGAGCGCTCGCCGTCCTCGTCGTCGCTGTCCTCGTCCTCGTCAAAATAGTCGCTCCACATGCCGTGAGCCTGCGAGTTGATGTTGGTGCTGGCGATGAAGTTGCGCGAACGCTTGGAAAAGCTCTGGTTGACGACCTAGGTCATGATGATGTTGTAGGCCTCGTCATCGCTGCGGATGCACACCGACGACATCAGGTAAGACGCCACCATCCTACTGGCATGCTCGTAAAGGTAGGACCACGACCACACCATGGTGCATGCGATCAGGAGCACGGGGATGTACAGATTGAGGTCGATGCCCAGGTAAGCGTGGATGGCTGATGAGAACATGGAGAAGCCGGGGATCATCGAGTCCAGGAGTGTCTGCTGGGACATTAGGCCCTGGGCATAAGGCACAGAGCCGTTTTCGGGACCGTCGTCGGTGTCCATGGTGCGCAACGTCGTCGGTGATGGAGGTGTGCAAGAAGAGATTGAGGATGTCGTCCTGGTGTGGTCCTGCCGTCAGGTAGGAGGACTAGACTCTCTACCTACCCATGCAGTAGAATTGGAAAAAAAAGAAAAAAAAAGGAGGGGACGATGGCGGATATTAAAGAGCTTCAAGTCCAAGCAGCTTTATCCGAGCGGTTCGTCAGGCGTCATCGGATCCTTACCAGACAGCCCTAGGCAGCGCACCTCCCACACCTCGTAGACCGCACATCACCATCAGAACGCGCCCCGAGTCCCGATTGACTCAGGGCGGCAGAAATCCCTACATGGCTGCACGAGTACAAGTGTGACGTACAGCGGATGAGCAGCAGTGAGAGCCGTATACCAGAGTAAGCTTGACCAACGATTTCCCCAAAGTCGCCATACGTCCCATGAGACCCAGATCAACACGAATCTAATAACGACAAGGCGTCTCTTCTTATACTTTCAGTTTTTTTTTCCCGCCACTTTTCACGTACCAGCTCTCCCTTCGATGTTCCTTGGGCTCCGATGAGGTGTAGTAGGTTGGAGTGTGAGTGGCTGTGATGAACGGTTGACGGTCATGCAGTACGAGTACGAATATGTGGGCGTGGACAAGGAACAGCATGACTGCATCATGCCGTGGTACTCGCAGTAATAGTTAGCAGTGGTGTAGAAGGCTTGGTGCAGTCCTGCAGTCCCTCGCACTTGCCACTTCCATCACTCTGACTGGGCTTGCCAGGTTCCTTCCCAACTTCCGCAGTCAGCACGGCTGATCACACCATAAATTCGGGCAGCAGCATGGGGCATCTTCGCATTTGATGCTTCTTTTCCCAACACACTCATACGGCGTATTCAAGTTCATCGACCATATGAGGATAGTCAAATCTATTTGAAAAAAAAAAAAGGGGGGGAGGGGGGCATGTATTCCTCCCTACTAAACAGCGAAACTGTGAGCTGGACCAGAAGCCGTGCTCCGACCTTATCTGCCTATTTGTCATGCCGGCGTGTCCTCATCATCCATCGGCATCTTCTCCCCTTGATGAGTCCCATCGTCAACCCGTCAACACATTATTATATTAGTCTCCAGCCATGTTGTCGTCAGCCATCCAAACGCACACACCACACACACATATACTGATTCGTGCAAATTCGTAGCCGTATGGTCTGTGCGCAGGCATCGAAGCCTATTCGACACGCAGGCAACCTCGGACATGACCTACTGGTCAACCGGGCTCGGCGGTGGTGTGGAATAGGAGGCGCTGGTGCTGGAGGTAACGACATCAGAGTCTCGGGGCTCGGGACGCCGGAACGAAGGTCCCTCCATGATAACGATGGCTTCGCGGCGGAGGCTCTCGCGGCGATGGAGACTCCCGCGGCCAGGACCTTCGTGACCGAGGGCGCTGGGAGGCTGAAGGGCTCGGAGTCGCAAAGGGCAGCTCCCCTGCGGCTGGAGGGAACCCTCTCCTGGGAAGCTGAGGGGGGGCGGCATGGACTTCTCTGGCGTCTCTGGGGACTTCCTTCACCCACGACAGCTTTGGTTCCCCCAGATACTTGTGCTCGCGATGGTCTCTACGCTCCCTCACTACCTTTCTCGTGTGCCTGATGCAATTGTAACCGGGCGGCACTCCCGTGAAGTAGATGGCCAGGGCCAGCGACAGTGACTTCTCCTTAGGCATCTGTGTGTAGCTAACTATCCGAGTAGTTGATTCTGATGTACCTTTACTTCTGCTCGGGGTTGGAGGCTTCGAAGCTATAGTGCGTCGCGGGAACCTGGAAGTAGATTGTGGAGACGAAGAAGAGGACGAGGATGAAACCCATCGGCGCTGCATGCTGCTTTTGTGCTAGGGCATGCACCTATAGTTTTTCTTCTTCTTCTTCTTCTTCTTCTTTCTTTTCTCTTTTTTCAAGTATGTTAGCTGGAATATTGTATATCATGCCTTCAACGTTTTGAACGGGTGAGGTCTCCGAAGAAGTCGGAAAAGTCTATATCATGAGGTGAAACCCGAGGGAAAAAAAGGCTGCATCAACCGAGAGGATAGGTAGCCTGTTATATATGCTCGATCTTGATATGACCAAGGCCAGCCTCGCAGACACACCCAACTGTACGACGATACACCAGACACTGGCTGACACCCATTCACGTTGAAGGACCTCTTTTGACACGGTTGAGTGAGGCTGTGAACGACAAGTGCGATGGTGATGAAACCGGGCGAGATGGCTCAGAGGGAAGGAAGAGAAGAAAAGAAGACAAAAGAGTCCGACCCCATCTCCTGCTGGCCAAGAAATAATACATGTACCAACCAATATGCAAGAACAACATGTCACAACGTATGTGGCAGGTAACTCGATGCTGCTTCTGTGCTTCTGATGCGAAGGCAGATCAAGGGAAGAGAGAAGCGTCAGTCCTTCTACCCGTAATTCGACGTCTCTCTCTCCCATCTGCTCCCACCGGCTGAGACGGGCTTTTTTCTTCTTCTCTTCTCTTCTTTTTCTTTCTCCTAGCATATTCTGCAAGGTAATGATACGGAGAAGACATCCTTAGTTCTTGTTGACATTTCGCAGGAACCTACTTGTCATCTCCTTCGACTGAGAAAAGTGCACATTCCGGGCAGCACGCAGACTCGATTAGAGAGCGCAGACAGGGGAGTAGAGAGAAGAGGGGAAGAACAGGAAGAGAGGAGGGAAGGAAAGGAAAGGAAAGCCCGCTCCTATCCATCGTTTGCCGTCTCTAGACGCATCTTATCTGGACAGAGAGGGTATTGTTGGTCACGTTCACACGCTCGTTGATTGAGATGATACAGGTGCTTTAGCCCCTTCAGAGGAAGGGCCGCGGCTGTTGTATTGATCTCTGTTCCTTCCATCTATCCAAGAGAGGATGAGGCCGTAGATATTATACCTGATCTGATGATGTTTGCCTAGAGGCCTGAGGATCAGATTTCGGACCGTAATAACCATTATGCCGCGCTCGCAGGTGCTTGTACAGACACGTATGAAGGGAGAACCAATAGGGGACCAACATTCAGGCCATCCTTGAGACGCGAGGTTCCTTCCCATCCCCCAGTAAGACTTTTTTCTGTCTTCCTAGATCGAGTGCTTGGTCATGCTCGGGAAAGTTTGGGCTATTTACTTTTCTTTCCTTCTTTTTTATCCCTTTATTTCTTTGCTTGTTCTTCTTTCTTTTCTTTCCTTGTCTTTCCTTTTTTTTCTTTTTCTTTTTCTTTCTTTTTCTTCATCTCAATGTATTTGCCAAGTATCAAGGTATTTGCCAAGTCAAAGAATCTGGGGTCGGACTGTTCTAGTCGCCACCCCTCTTTCCAAGTGTAGAAGACTACTGCCATGCAACTACTCGCATATGCTGTGCTGTCAGTGTGCCGAGAAGCTATCTGTCACACTCTCCTTCTTTAGTTGGTTCCGTTGCCTTCCCTGGTGTCGTCGCTGCAGTGGCCCTTGCGAAAAGCGCAGGTGTAATTGTAGGCTATTGGTCGGTGCCCCCCCACCCCTTCTTCCTTCAGGGACAATGGAACAATCGATCACAATCCCTACACAGAAGGCCTGCAGAGCCAAGGCTAGCAAGGCTGATGGTTGCACAGGAAATCTCAGACACGCAGGTTATGCTGCTGTGCTGTTATTCGGGATGAAGCACGAGAGGAGGGGAAGGGCAGTCTATGCTGGAAGTACACCACTCCCCCAACATAATGCTGCGTCGTGACATCGTGATACATCGAGCGCCTCTCCCTACCATGTTGACGTCGTGATACATTGCAGCTTCCTCTGTTACGAATTCATGGCTCAGCGGGATGTTGGGAGATGAACGATCTTTTTCTGTCTGGAGCCTATTTATTTAGCTCTCACCACTCCCTCTTTTCTGCTTCTCTTTCTTGACTCTCATCAGACATGGGGTAAATCCTTTTTCTTCTTCTTTAGTTCATGTTCTTCTCGTTTCACTTCGTTGGTTTCTTTGATATTCACTCGTCGTCAGTACGTTTCGTTATTGTAAGTCCTGGCCGAGCATGGCACCCAAACAGATCTGCCTCTATGTCGTGCTGTATGCCCAGGGAGGTATACCTCTGACGGGAAGACTAGAGGAAGGATCGTAAGTTTCTCTCCTCTTCTGTCTCCCTCCCTCTCTCTCTCTTTATCTCTCTCTTTCTCCCTCCCTCCCTCTCGCTCGTTGGACGTCTTCTATTGCGTTTTCAGCAGAGTTTCCTGTTGACAATGAGTACAATGTAGCTTCCACTGGGCTCTCATGACAGGTCCCAGAGAAGAGATGCCATTCAGTCAAGGAAAACGATACCACGCCGTTCAGAACAATCGAGTTGTGAGAGATGTCAAAAGCACCGGCAGTGGAACCGGAACCGGAAGTGGGGGCGGGAGAGGGGGTGACTCCCTCCCGACCCAGTGTGTGTGGGAGTACGAGGAGCAGCAGATATTCATGATGCCTACCATGTCGTTGCTCGTCAGGATATACATTGGCGAAGTGAGGGATATGGACAGGCTGGAGGCCATCATCAGGATGACTCCGGTTGGGGGGAAGCAGCAGCTCATGCTCCCTCCTACCCCTCGACTTGCTCACCAGCCTCTTGCTCAGCCTGTCCAGCGTGTAGCCCAGTCTCAGCCTGCTCAGCCTGCTCAGCCTGCTCATCCTTTACAGTCTGCACCTCAGCAGCGGCAGCAGCAGCAGCAGCACTATCCCAACGGCCACGGCGGCGTTCCTAGAGTAGAAAGCGGTGCGGGATCAGGGAGGTCAGCATCGGCACCAGGAGGAGGAGGAGCCCCAAGCGTTGCGTGGGTAGGCGAGGTTGTATCGTCCGTTCTTCAGGATCCCAGGGCCATCTGGACAAAGCCCGGTATGGGATGGGAGCAGGTCAAGGATGGGAGTCTCTGGTATCTGGCTTGGAAGAAGGTCAATCATAGGTTCGATGACAGGGGGCAGTATGATCGCAGTAAGGCGGCGACGTGGGATATGGTTCTCGGAGCAGAGAGGACGCCGTGAACACACCCACTCACTCACACTCGGCACTCACACAGGAGTCGAGCTACAGAAGACGATGGTACAAACTGGCTTTGTCACTGCAGGTGGCACGTACGAGGCGCCGTCTACATATGCCATCCGGTGCTGTCGATCAAGGCCGTACTCCCGTCGTATATACGAGGACACATGACAGAAACGAACCGAATGAAATAGCATAAAGCGTGAGCGAGTGAGTGAGTGAGCGGGCGAACGTGATTGTGAATGATTGTGTGTGCGTGTATCACTTTCCCTGTCCCTTTGAACTGATTACCTAAATACCAAACAGGAGCGTGACAGAAGGTGTTGTGTTGGGATGGTCGGACTGTTTCGTCTTTTTGCTATGTGGTTAGTATTTAGTTACTATCCCGTAGTCACTACTTAGTCATATTCCGACCGGAGAGCAGGGGGGTCAGAGCATAGCAAGGTGTGGTCAGACTCAAGTGCCGAGATGCTCCATAGGCTAACTTCACCGGCCAATCGGCGAAAGATGACCCGGGAAAGATCAAAAACATGGTCGACCACGGTGAACGGGACCGGGAGCCTAGAGCGGACTTTTTCTGCCGCACGAGTAGAGGTGATGACGGCAGCGTGATTCGGCGTCGCGTTTCGATGTACGAGTAATACATGTAGATGCAGGGGTGGCATGTGGTCCGATGTATCAAGAGGAGGTGGTTGTAACTTGTATGTAATAGCACACGTTCTGTGTATATTGGTCATTCTCAATTGATCATGGATCGGTATGATGGAGTAGTACAAGTAAGTACCATTATCCCGTGAAGGTGATGAGGGAAAAGGTGAGAAAAGAGTGTGCGATATGGGAGCACGTGACTTGATAATGTTTGATGTGTAATCATTGCACAGTAGTAGCAAAGAATACGAGTACATGTATTGGGGGCATGACATCGTTGCATGCACAGAAAGAAAAGGAAAATAAAGAAGGGAGTATATTCAAATGATGAGAAAAATACGTCGTATTATACACGGATACACTTCATAACATCACTTCTTATATTAGAACAAGGCGCAGTTTAGCCATGCGGGTTGCAGGAGAAGAAAAGAAGAGAGGGGAAAAAAAAAAGGATTTTGCCCAACGAGCTTGCGCCAACAGCCAAGGGTATGTGACGTATGATTGGCTGAATGGAGGACGGAACGGGTATCCACTCTTCTGTCTGAGAGACTTGACTTGTTCCGTACATGAGCAGGAGTGTTAGAAGGGGAGATTGACTGCGACGATGGAGATTTACAGGAATGTTCTGACTTGGCATTTGTGTGAATCCTTGGTGCTTCAAGTCTTTGTGTGTTTGTGTGTGTGTGTGTGTGTGTGTGTGTGTTGTGGTTGCGTGTTGGGTCATCGGCAAGAGAGAGAGAAAATTGAATGGGAGAGATCATGATACGTACACATAGTAATATATATACTCGTATATAATACCAGGTGATGATAGAGGAGGAGGAGGAAGAAGGAGTGGAGAGGCCTCCGTTCATGTTGTCTCATGTGCATTACGAGGATTAATATGGTGATTATTGCGGATATCCGGACTCGTAAAGAACAGGCTCGTATTATTGTGGAATAACACTAACAGTGCTGTCCCCGTCTTTTTTATCATTCAAAAAAGCGCCGATGACTATCTGAATAGGAAGACGAAAGAGAAAGAACAATGGCGATACCCGATGAAATGCTCCGATCTGTGGATATTCTTGCATCGGTTGGGGGCGATTGGTGTAGTTTTTTGGCTCCAGCTTCTGCTTTTCGGCGGCGTGGCCGGCAGCGGCGGGGAGGTTTTAATACTACATCTAGACATCCGTTGCCCGTACGCTGCAATACGCTGTATTACTCGTAATATTACCGGTACGGTAGTGCTCGTGCTCGCAGTGTATTACCGCAGGTCCCGTAGTGGTTACCTCCATGTCCGGAGTCTGGAAGAGTTGCAAGGAATTGAGAATTGAGAGGAGGAGAATTGGATGTGAGAGAGACCAGAACAACGCCCCTCCCCTCTGCTCCCCCCCCGGGCCCCGGCAGAGAAATCCCGTCCTAGGCAATCTACTCGCCAAGACTGTATTAACAGTGGAGTTTGGGTCTGGTCTTCCTGTTTTATTTTCCTTGGACTTCATCAGTGCCTGCAGTCGGTAATAATTCTTGCGGTGCAGGTAGTTTCCCATCGCAGAGGATTCCATGCTGGTCTCGTTGCTTGATTTCAATTCCACGCATCTCCTGCCTCGGCCAGCAAGTTACCTTCATGGCGGCTTCAGGTCCCACTGCTAGCGCACCCACGGCGCTGTATTAGTGCTGGACGATTTGGTCGTCGTACAGGTACAGGTAGGCTCTACGACTTTTTAGCGTATCCCGGCCTTCTATGGTTTCCCTTTTAGGGCTGTACGTCACTGTAGAGTTGGGCGGGCGTCTACGAGAGGTACCTGTAGGATGTGATTACCCTCTGAGGCAAGTTCCATCGACAGCAAATGATCCGAAATAGGCCAATCACAATCTCCCTCCATCCCTCTACCATCCACTTTTCTCAAGTTCCACCAGCCGATGCACCTGTGGCTGAGGTGCTGGCTGGGGAGGGAGGGGGGTTAGGGGAGCCCACTGAAACTTCAAACCGCAGACATTGGAGAACCCACCACTGACCACTGATTACTGGCCACTCAGGGCACACCACCCGGCACACTCAGCCTGGCCACCACCACCCCCCCCCGTATTGTCTGTCTCTCTCCTCTCTGTCTCCCAATCTCCCTCGCTCTCTCCCGTTCCTCTCCTTCGTATCTCCCTACTCACCTATTCAATCTCTCTCAACTCTCTCGCTTAACCTCGACCACCTGCCCCCCCACACACGTGTCGATGCCGTGTATCACGAACAACGTATAGGGGAAATCCCAGTACATTTTCTTTCTTCTTTCGAACCGACCGTTGAACCCGCCACTCATTCTCTCACGACCAACGTCAACCCTCCCCGCGACCGTGTACTCAACTCGTGAACTCATCCCCCGAACAATACGGCTTGGTTGAAATTCGCATCACCACTTGAGACGGCCTGAACATAACCAATCCCGCTCGCCGTGTTGGCGGCCCCATCGAGGTCGCCAGAAGTCTTCTCATGCTCCCTCTGTCCCCAGAGGTACACGCATAGCAACACCCTCATCGCTCGACAGCAACGGATACGATAGCCGCGCAATCCAAGCCTTGCCCATCATGGACTCGTCACGCAACAGGTCAAGGCCGTCGTCGGCAGCCACTCGCCGTCAGCAACGTGACTCTGTTCGGAGGAGGTCGCCTAGCGTTGTCTCCAGCGCCTCACACGGCAGCCGCACCGAGGAAAGCTACGACCTGGAAGAATTCCACGTCGCAGATGGCTTTCGCCCGACCGATGAGTCTTCCCAGTCCGAAGGCTCTCCACGCATACCGGACCAGTCAGCACGGCAGCCGCTGTCACAGGTCCACACCAACAACTCCTCCACAAACTTCCCCGCTCCTCAACAACAGAAACAGTCCGACACCTTCGCTACAGACACCACCCCCGAGAACGGCATCCGTCCTCGCCCCTCGAGTATTTCCAAGTCTCACCGTCCCCATGAGTCTCTCACACTGCGCAACGATGGCTCCAGCGCCGGTGCCGCCAACCGCGACGGCCCCGTACAGCTGTCGGCGGCCTCGATAGCGGCCACCGGCAGCGCCGGCCCTTCTCACCCCTACAACGACTACGTACAGGGGACCAGCACCGAAGCCGCCGCTGGCCCCACCTCCAACTCCCAGAACGCCCGCCAGGGGGACTACAGCGGGCCCTCGAGACCGACGCACCCCTACAGCCTCTATCCCCAGAGCACAGAACCTCTACCCGACACCACCGCTGAGGCCATTCCCGTCGGTTTCGCTGGACTGGGAGGAGGCTATCAGCGCCAGGTTGGACCCGACGGGGAGTCGGGCGATCTCATCGGACCAATGGGCCACCTGGAGGAGCTACCCCCCTACACCAGGTATCCCGAGCAAGCCTATGTCCGGGAGCATTCCGCCCAAGAACCTCCAGGGCCCACCCTCGCCCCTATCACTGTCACGGCTGCTGCTGCCACGGCTGCTGCTACGGCGGCCGCTGCGGCTGCCGCTACAGCCGCCGTCGCCACCGCCGCTACGGCACCAGCCAGGTCGATCTCTTCGGCCACCTCACCCCGCGCAGCGCAGGCCTCTACGAGCATAGACGCGACGCCCGCACCTCGCAGTCAGAGCCCACACGGTGACGAGGCTGCTGATGAGGGGCAGAATGGACTGACGGTCACACGCTCAGTGCAGTCTCGTGGCAGCCGTGAAGAGTCGGATTCTACCAGGTCAGGCTCGAGTGACGGGCCGAAGGACTACGAAGAGCAAGATCCGCGGAGTAGCATGCCCAAGTGGAAGAGGAGGGCCAGGACCAAGGTGCTGGGCATCATCCCCTGCTGGGCCATATGCCTGCTCGTCTTCGCCCTGTTTGTCGTGGGTATCATCATGGGCGCCGTGCTGGGCGTCCTCCTGGCCGGCCGGCCGGACAAGAAGCCGAACTCTCAAGAGAGCCAGATGAAGGCGAAGCTGTCGTCGTCATCGGATGTGGAGCCCCTAGACAGCCTACCGTCCTACGTGCAGGCGCTGACTACGGGCTGCTTTGACCTGGAGCCGCTAGACCTGCGCGCGGCGCCTCGGACGTGCTTCCAGGAGCCGACACAGTCACGTTCGTGGAGCTGCGACGTGCCCCAGCGCTACTACACGATCGACATGGCCAAGGACCCGGCCGCGCCCCCAGTGGCCGACTACACGATGCGCCTCAAGCTGGTCAACCAGACGGATCGGTCTTACTACTGGGGCACGCAACCACCCAACATCATCTCACCGGCTAACCTGCAGCTCGTCAACGACACGTTTGAGCAAGACAGGGGACCGGCGTGGTGGTTTCAGATGCCGTACCCGAAGAAGGTCCTCGTCCCCGGCAGCAGCCTGTCTGCCGACTCAAGCAGTAGCAGCAGCAGCAGCAAGCGAAGCATCGCCAAGCGCAGCGACGATGACTGGGACGCGTGGACCTCGGTGATGCTCTCGTCTACAGCGCGCTCCTCCTCGTCGGAACCCGGCCCTGAAGACGGCGACGTAGCCTGGCTATGCACATGGCCCAACGTGACGATGGAGGTGTTCATCTATCCCAACCAAGACAGCTCTGTCTCATCGTCGTCGTCATCAACGACGACGACGACATCGTCAGCCGCAGCCGCGGAGTCGACGGGGTCTACATCGACAGACAGCACTGTGCAGGTACCAGACAACGTCCCCCCGTACCCCAAGGTGGTCAAGATGCTCGAGCGACGACTATACGCGGACGACGACCAGGTGGCGGCGGTGTGCAATCAGATCCGCATCACGGATGGCGGACGCAACAGCGAGAATGTGCTCGATGACTCCGGCGAGCCCGTGACGATCAACATTGCCGAGAAGAAGAGCTCATACGAGGATCTCCTCAAGCAGCAGGAGCGCAGTCGCCACCCGACCAGGAACGTGGTCGATGAGCACGAAGCTGGACTGTATCCTCGTGAGACGGTCGAGTTGACTGATTGCAGTTGTCTATGGTGGTCTCAGTGATTATCTTTATCTTATCCTTCCCATCCGCTCTTACCTACTTTTCTCTTTTCTCTTTTTTTTTCCTTCGAAAACTCTCTTTTACAGTCTTTACTGTATGTATATTTGGCCGCGGGAGGTTTTTTTCTCCTCTTTCTGGAAAAAAAGGAAAAAAGGCACATGCCCTGTTTTTACATCAATCATCACCTCTAATGTTACCGGGGTAGATGGAATATATCTGGCGTTTTTCCTTCTTCTTTTTTCTTCTCTTCTCTGTTTCTGTCGACGTTTTATTTCCATGTCGACTTTTTTTTTTGTATGCTGAGAGAGAAAAAGAATATTTATGGTGTTGATAGTTGGGGGAATATCTTTTACATCTTGAGATGGTCATGATACCGACGTATATAGGAATAACGGTACATTATCACCTTAATCAGCTTTACAACTTGATTTGATGTGACTTTAACCTAAGATTTGGTACACATGCGAGCGAAGCGAGAAGAACTCCCGGTAGGGCCGCCGGGAGCACAATTAAACTTGACTTGCGATGAACCAGGACACATCGCATACGCATATATTGATACCAAGGTTTGCTGTAGCGAGTAATCATGCAACTCCAGGAGTCACCCGATACTGAATCATATAATACTTCAAAACCCTGCACCGTCAACGCCTGTATGCACACCTGGCACCACCTGCACCACCTGCGCCACCTGCGTCACGTGCGTGCGCCGGGTCAGTTCGGCGAGTGCTCTGGCCCTGGCTCGACGGCCATGTCGCGAATCTCATTGTCGACAATGTCCTTGCGTCCATCGCGGAAGTCGCGCATCAGCGACAGAAACATCGACTGCTTCCACTTGTCGCCGTTTTCGTGCTGCACTGACTCTAGCAGTCGCTCTGCGGCCTCTGATACCTCGGAACGAGCCTTGGTGTCGGGCTGCTGCTGCTCCGTCGGCTGCTGGGTCTGCTGCTGGGTCTCGGCGGTTATCTCCGTGGCGGACAGGTGCGCGGCCTCAGAGCGACCTAGGTCTGAGAGACGGATGTCTGAGAAGAGCACGTCGGGGTCTCGGTCGTGCACGTCATCTTGGCCTTGGGAGGTTGTCTCCTTGTCGAGGACATCTTGTTGAGAAGGAGGCTCTTGGCTGACAGCTCGGTCCTGCTGGGCATCGAGCGCGCCATCGTTGATTTCCAACTCCCGCGCCATCTGATCCATGACGGCATCCACGTCCTCCATGGCCTTGGTATTTTCAGCGATACCGCCGCCGTTCGCCGTCATCCACCGGGACATCTCCTCGTCGAAATCGGCCTCGGCGGCGGGACGCTGAGCGGAAGCGACATTGGCATCCATGAATCCCCCGTTTGTCGGACCGTACAGCGGTGTGAACCCCCCGTTGGGTTGCATGGCCGACATGCCGGTACGGAAGCCAAACGCCTCAGCCATTCCCGGGGGCTGCATGTGGTTCGCTTGCTGGGGGTTCTGGGCCGCAGCGCGTTGCGGTTGCTGCTGCACTGGAGATAGACTGCCAGGACCCGAGAACCGTACGAAGTCGGCTGCCCAGTTGTGGTCCACGGAGGGTGTGGATGACGGCATCTGGCGATGCGGCAGCTGCGCCTGTGGGCGCTGGTGATGGGTATCCAGAGCTGCCGCATGCGCTGCTAACCTCCCGGCGGCATGGTATGGACCGACGGAGTCGGCGGACAGGGCGGCGTTGCCGTCCACGAATGCGCCAAAATCATTCTGGCTCTGCGTGTAATGTGCTTGCTGGGAACGGAAGCCCTGTTGAGATCAGCGACATGTTCATAGTCAGCAAGATATGGCAGGGGTGTATAGAGACTTACACCGTGATGGGTTGCCAGCGAGTTGTCACGCAGCCGATCCTGATGGCGGCTCACGTCCCGGTTCTGATGATCAACGAGACGCTTGAAGGGCGAGGGCCCACTACATGAGGCTTCTGCCATGGTGGGGGCTGTATGTTCTGCCTCACACACGCGAGGTTCTGGTGACGATGGGGAGTAGCCGTTCCTCTCGAATGCTCGAATGAGTTCGGACCTCGGTAGAGCACCAACGCTGTGGTCAACGGGTCTGTAGTTTGTGAATTCAGGTTGAGGAAAGAAGAGGCGATTATGAAGACTTCCTATTCCCAAAAGAAGGAAGAGAAAATCTTTATGATACCAATGGAAGGAAAGGGGGATTGCAAAGCAGAGGAAGATGTGTAATGTGATGCAGAAGAGAGAGAGAATAGACGAGATGCCATCAAATTGGAGAGTTGGCTCGCTTGTGATTGTCCGGGGTAGTCAACGATATTGACAGTGACGGATTATATCAGCAGCCTCTTGCCTCGGCGCCGGCGAACGATTCCCATGGTCCATGGTGCAAACGGCGGGGCACAGGCAGGGGCAGCCGCCGCCACCTTCTGGGCTTCCACTGACTATTATTATTATATGTAACCTGTACATATTATATACTGACTCTCTGGTACAGATCACTCCGTGCTGTATTATGAATACATGTACCTCAGGTACTGTGTACGGTGTGGCGTCTTGGATCACGTGATCCGGCGTGCTGAACTGGTGAGCTGTCACGTCGCCTTGGCTACGTATGAATTGATAGCTCCCCAGACAGACAAGCCAAGACGACGAATCCCACATTCTATCTTCCACGACGTTGATTCCTCTATTCAGGGCACGGGATCTATCAGTGTAGCGTCTCTCACAATGGTATGTTCACGAAAGGACAATCCCTAGAGGCCAACCTCTTCCGCAGTGAGCAAGCTGACAGCTCCCCTCCTCCCCCCTCCCTAGGCTACCCAGGTCATCTCCAACTCAGGCCACGACGACATGATTGTATGTGCTCTCGCAAACAAGACGACCCTTTGTCTAAAACGGTGAACTTACGAATCATCATAGCACGATGCCGTCCTAGACTACTACGGCCGAAAGCTGGCGACCTGCTCCAGCGACAGAACCATCAAGATATTTGAAGTCGAGGGCGAGACCCACCGTCTACTAGAGACACTCAAAGGGTGAGCTTCCACTTTGTTTCCCTCTTCCTTTCCTTCCTGCCAGACCTTGCGTACACATACAAAGAAGCGACTTGGGCTTAGACAGACGGAACACAAAAACAGACACGAAGGCGCAGTATGGTGTGTAGCGTGGGCGCACCCCAAGTTTGGCAACATCCTAGCGTCGGCAGGCTACGACGGCAAGGTCTTCATCTGGAAGGACCAAGGGACGCAGCAGACGGCACAGTGGCAGCGCATCTACGACTTCTCTCAGCACAAGGCTTCGGTCAACATTGTGGCCTGGGCCCCCCACGAGGCCGGGTGTCTCCTGGCCTGCGCCTCGTCGGACGGCAATGTCAGCGTCCTCGAGTTCAAGGACAACGCCATCGACCACGCTACCTTCCACGCCCACGGCCTGGGCGTCAACTCGGTCTCGTGGGCGCCTGCCACCGCTCCGGGCAGCCTCGTCAGCAGCAGCAGCAGCAGCAATGCCGGCGCCAACCGCCGCTTCGTCACCGGCGGCTGCGACAACGTCCTCCGCATCTGGTCCTACGATGTGGCATCCCAGGCCTACCAGAAGGAGGGCGACGACCTCGACGGCCACTCCGACTGGGTCCGCGACGTCGCCTGGTCACCCACCCTCCTCCAAAAGTCGTACATCGCCAGCGCCTCGCAGGACAAGACGGTGCGCATCTGGTCGTCCGACCCCTCCACCCCGACCGCCGCCTGGGACTCCAAGGTCCTCAACTTCGAGGCTCCCGTCTGGCGCGTCAGCTGGTCCCTCAGCGGTAACGTTCTCGCCGTCAGTGGCGCCGACAACAAGGTCTCGCTGTGGAAGGAGAATCTTCGTGGAGAGTGGGAGTGTGTCAAGTCGATTGAGGAGTAGAACTTTTCTTGATTCTATCTAATCTTTTTTCTCTCTTCTTCTTGCTTCCCTTTCTTCTACGCTTATCCTCCTTTTCATTTTCAACTCTCACGTATACACCCTCCCCCCCCTTTTCTCACCTTTCTTTTCCAGAATCCAACAACTGCTGTCATGCGTGACTCGGGGCAAACAAAAGAAGAAGAAGAAAAAGAAAAGAAAAAAGAAACCGGCACAGAGAGCAACGGCGTTTTAAAACAAGGCTCCCATATAAAGATGATTTGATGACGAACAGTGTAGAGAGATGAAGGAGTTCCCCCCCATCTTTATTTTGACTTTTTTTTCTTTGTTGTCACCATGTTTGCTTTTATGAATAAAGCCTTGATTTCCAAAAATCACACCTAATGTTATTCATTCTGAAAAGAGCAATATCTACAAGTATTCATTACCAAAACAATCACACATGCTATTCCCATCTTTTAGAAAAGGAAAAAGAAAAGGACAAGTTTTGAAAAACACGAAAAATTACTAGTAACTTGATTTGATATAATAGGGGATGTGTAGTTCGGGGGCCAGGGGGTATTTTTATATAAAAGGAGGGACAGGATGAATACAAAAAAAGGTTCGAGGGGAATCAAACAAAGGAAAATGATGGTGGAAAACAACATTGCGTGTACCCATACGCCTGCCAGCAATTTGAGAAGAAGAAGAAAAGGAAAAAAAAAGGGGGGGGGGAAGAAAAGAAAGAAAAAAAGATAAGTGTACTGTGCCGAATGTTATTTCCAAAAGAGAAGGAGTGTGTAGTGAGTGTCACGGTCACCTCAGTCCGATGACGCTCATCTCAAGGGTCCAGACACGACGGATCCAGACCTTGAGCTTGCCCTCTACACCATCTACATCGTCGAGCTCGACGCCCTCCCACCAGCAGCGGCGGGCGGGCTTCCGCCAGAAGAGGAGGAGCTTCTGGGCCATACCGACGGCGTTCCCGCCGACGTCGTTGCCGCGGATGTCGCTGCGCAGACGGGCGAGGGCGAGGCTGCAGATGACGGCCTTGTGCGGCTCTCCCGCGCGGTGGCCCCAGTGGTCGGCGCGGTCAAAGCCGCCGGCCGTGAGCATCTCGATGAGGTGGGCCTCGGTGGTGCCGGGCTCGTCGCCGCGCTTGAGACCCGTGAAGATGCCGGCCTGGCTCTGCAGGACGCGGGCGGCCGCGCGTTTCACCTCGAGCATCTCGTCGGGGCTGATGTCCTTTGACGGTGGGATGGCGTAGAAGTCGAGGTCCTCGCGGAGCACAATGATGCCGGCCCTCTTGGAGTCGCCCATGGGCTCAACGGCGCCGACGTCGCCATCCTGAGAGGCGCCAGGAGATCCGTCCGAGGGTATCGTCTGGGCCACATCGCGGAAGAAGTCGAGCATGTACTGGAGAGATGCCGGGTCGTACTGTTTTCAGGGGGTTAGTCTCCTAGGGTAAGAACAACAGAGGATAGCAGCCAAAAAAAAAGGGGGGGGGGGGGGGGGGGGGTCCTCACGTCAACCTGGACGGCATCACCCTCCGACAGCCCGCCCATGTGTCCCTCGGGGAACAGGCCGTTGGGGAAGAGGGACAGGAGGACAAACTCAGGAAGGGTCAGGAGCTCGTCCCTCGAGAGGACAAAGCGAGTACCCCTGAGGTCCATGGCAATAGTTTCATCGGCACCGACATCTGGTGGTGAAGTCTGTTAGCATCGCATTATTGTCGAAAGCTCGGCAGTATAGAACTTACCTCCGATGGAGTTGATAGGCGGTCCACCCTGCTGGACTTGGGTGATGATGCTCGAGGCACCTCCTGCGGCGGCCATGACGTATGTAAATGAGAGTAGAGGACTATCACCCTCCTCGTAGGCAGGCGGAGGTTCAGCGTCGTCGGCGGGATCCTTCGAGGTCGGGGGCTTTGTATCGCGCGGTAAGAGTTTCTTTGTCTCGGCAAAGTGGTCACGGCTCGGGGAAGAGCCAGAGGCGGAGGCGGAGGCTTCGTAGGCAGGCGAGGAAGCTGCAGCGACCTGTTCGAGAGGGCCAGAGGACGACGACGCTAGCGGCGGGGGTAGAGACGACGAAGATGCCTCGGGAGCGGGGAAATAAGAGGTAAAGAGCGACGAGAAGGGCGGAGGAGGCCTAGGTGATGAGGAAGAAGACTCGGAGGCAGGGTACCGCGGAGGAGGAGATCGTTCGCGTTCGACGCTATCGTCGTTGTCCAGCGCGGCGGAGGAGGCGGCGATGACGGCGTCGGGGTTCGAAGAATGAGTGGAAGAAGCCACCGAAGGAGAAGGGGAGGACTCAGATGGTCCCGAAGAGGAGATGGTGGACTTCTTTAAGGAAGACAACTTGACGGTTGTCGGGGATGTCGGGGCTACAGAAAAGAGAAGACGGAGGGACAGCGGGGAGAGAGCGTGTGGTATATTGTTACTTGGTATTATCGATACCCCTGTTCTCTTTGATTTCCCTTTTTTTTCTTCGTCTCTCGGTCGGACAAGGATTGTCTCTCCCTGAGGATCCGGTTGATTTTCTTCTTCTTCTTCTTCTTCCTCAGACAACAGTGATAAAGCGCATTGTTTAGAGGGTGGGCGTGACTGGGAGAGGATTATGTCCTGGGACGTGACGTGCCTCTATAGAAGATGAAGGGGAGAGGGGAACAAGAGAGAGGAAGAGAGAGGGAGGGAGAGGGAGAGCAAGCAGAGCCCATTTCAGAGAGAAGATGGGCGGGCTGGTGGTCTCTGGCGGTGGTTGGGCGCCTTACAGCTGCTACGGGAGCAAGCTACGCGCTGTAGACGCTAGATTGAACCCCTGAGGAGCTTCTCGGGCGGGGGCCCTCAATACGGGGTCTTTTTTGAGCCACTAATCTACCAACCTACGGCGTATCATCCACTGTAGTCTGTATTACCCGGCTATGGCTGTTAGCCGCCGTGTGTACAGCTCATCACCGGCTTCATGCATGTCATCACGTCCAGTCAAGGGTAGTATCCGTAATCCTGCTATCTAGTAGTATCAAGTCTACAGTAATACATGCAGTCGCACCCGTATCCCATCAGTCATCGTCGTCGTCGTCTCCGAAGATGGCCTGAAGGATCTTCTCATGCGCCGCCGTCGCCTCTACCGCGTCGTTCCTATCCGGATCGACTTCGGGTTCGGCTGCAGCAGTAGGAGCAGCAGCGGGTCCTGTTGATGCCGGCGGTGATGCCGCCAGTGGTGCAGCAGCAGCATCCGTCCCATGATCGGAAGGACCCGATCTCGGACCTGCATCTCCAGCCTCCTTGTCCGGCTTCACATGCGCAGGTGGCCGGACATTGAACCGCTTGCACAGTAACCTGGTCGGATAGAAGGTGGCCACCGACCTCGTCAGATTGCCGTACATGCCCATGCGCGCCGCCTCTTCGGCCGGATCACCCACCTGCTTCTCCGGCGTCGCCTCCTTTGCATCTGCTACATCCGGACCCCGACCCGAAGTCTTTTTGGCCGTTGTGAATCGTGACGCCATGAATCCGGTCATGGGCTTAAATATCCTGGCGCAGTTGTAGAACTCTCCCATCTCACGTAGATACTCGTCATCCGTCATGCCCCGCGGCTTCGCGCGCTGCTGTTCCGGGTCGTCAGCCTGACCCTCCAGGTATTCCCTGTACCGGGCCTTCTTGGCCTCGTCGTCTGCGTAGGGCCCGCCGGCACTCCTCGACAGGGCGGCCACAGCCGTCTCACGATCCAGCTTGGGAACCTGGCTCCATAGGCGTTTGAGCTTCTCGTGCTCTGACAGGCGGTATTCTTCCGGTACCTCGCCCATACCTTGGGGCAGGTCGGTGCGGCCTGCGGCTGTAGCCAGCTTGTCGCGTCCTAGGGGGGATATGTAGTCGAAGACCGATTTTCCCGGCAGCTGTTTCTCTCCCAGCAGTGCCGCGCGAGCTTTGGGGTCGAGAGTGGAGGCCTTGGCGGTATCGGAAGTAGATGCATATGCTCTGTTCTCGTCCGTGCTCGTACCCTGCTTCACTGCTGACGTCCACCCCTCGGGCACCGCGGGCGGCAGGTACTGAGACAGGAGTGATGCAAAATCCTCCGTCAGCTTGGCCAGCACAAACCCATCGAGAGGTAGGCGGCCGTCGTGGCATCGGCCCAGACCGCCACCGGCCCTGGCAGTCTTGGGAACAAATACAGGAGTGCTTCCGATTGAGGGGTTCACGGCGGCCTTTGCATTCTTCTGCTTCTTCTTCTTCTTGTCCCCGCCAATGACGCGGTTGTACTTGATCCTCGGGCCAATCTCGTAGGGGTCCTCTTCGTCGGACCCGTTGTCGTTGAGGACGCCCACGCCTATACCAGTCCTGCTGGGCTTGAGTCCCTTCTTCTTGTCGGCCACGAGGGAGAACTTGGGGCGGCCTCCGCTAGTCGCCTCATCGTCGCCATCGTCGTCGCGGTGTACCCGGGCCATCGGCGACAGCGTCGGTACGCCCTGGTGGCCGAGGCCTTTGCGGTCTTTCTTGCGGTCGAGCTGGATCATGGTCACATCGTCGGGAGCGAAGAGATATGTCTTATCGTCGGCATTGGCCTTGCTCGTGTCGAGTCGAGCGCGACGTCGTACCTTGGGTCCTATACCCTGACCATCCTTCCAGCCCATCTTGCGCAGGAGTCTCAACCCCATGGTATCGCCCTGTGTACGGAACAGTCCGGCCAGACCTCGCTCCCCGTTGCCGCGCGTCACGCCACCTATTCCGGCAAACGCATCAGACGTCTGGATCTTTTGCGCCTCAGCCGCAGCAGCCAGGTCCTCCTCATCCATGAAGTCCTCCGGCCGCTGCTGCTTGGCAGCGTCGTCCTTGCGCCGGTCAGAACGGCTGGACACAAATGTCGAGGGTGTCCAGCCCTCCTTGGAGCCGACGGTGTTGTAGTACCCCGCGCTCCAGCCGCCGGTGAAGGCGCCGTGGAGACGCTTGCGGCCGCGGTCGTCCCTCACGTCTTGCTTCCATAGGGGCACGTAAGAGCCATCGTCGCGGGTGGAGGAGTCGTCGGGTAGTGGGGTGCCGAACGTGACAAAGGAGGAGGACGGACGGTCGGCCTCGTAAGTCGACCGGGATCGTTTGTACGACATGAGGATTGGGGTTAGGTCATGTCATCCCGGAGATGTGTGTGTCAGTACTGAGGTTATGATGGTGGCTCTTTCACTAGTACTACTGATCACGGCCAGAGCAGCTGGAGGTTCTGGAGCTCGTTGTTATCGATAAGGACTCTGCTGATACGCGGTAGCTTCACGCACATGTACTCTACGTCGGCGTCGGCGTCGGCGCACGTACTCGGTGATACTACAGCGGTAGACTGGTGTCACTACTACGGATGGCTGCTTCTGAGGCGATTATGATACGGTGATATACTCGTACGAGCACAGCAGAGGCGCTACATGCAAGGACCCGTGACGCGTAATGGAAGGACGATGATGGCAAACATCAGAGGAAGAGAGACTGAAGCTGTACACATAAGTGGACTAGCGGGCAGTAGAGCGCTAATAGTGGCTAGCAGCAGCACTTAGCAGTAGTCCATCAGCGGTAGTTAGCGGTAGCACAGGCGTACGGGCCTGTTCCGAGCGCAAACGGAGGTGGATCGAGGAGGGCCTAGAGCAGCGAGTGTAAGGAAGCCGGCATGCAATGAAAATCTAATATCTTTGTTTACCCTAGTCTCGTTCCTTCTCTCGTTTGGTCTTATGCGGTAATCTCTCGTGTTTAGATTAAACAGGAGAGATTCCCTCTCCCCCTTTTGATATGGGGGTGGGTTAAGCTGCTGCATCGTGAGGTGGTCTATCTGGTAAAGCCTGAATGGACAGCAGCGGTCCACTAGAATACCTGCAGGCCACCCATTCACGATGGGCTGGGAGTTGGCCGGGCTCTCAGCTCCTGTCAATGCCCGATGCATGAAGCAGCACAGAGTCGCGTACATGCAGGATAGGTACATGCAATCGACCATCTCCAGGCAAAAGAAAGGAGAACAGGGCACACAAGGCCTGTTGGTCTGTTTGTTATCCCATCACACCTGCTTGCGGAGTAGCACAGCGTTAGCACCTACACTACCTATTCGTATAGGTGGTGTAGAGTGGCCCGTAGGGGAGCCGTCTAGCACTCTGGCACCATCTCTGCTGAGCCCCTCCTTCCCTGTACTGATGACCTGGAGTCTATCCGCTGAGCCTGGCCCCTAGATCCCTCCATCTCCAGTAGGTATGCACCGCTACAGTCTAGCAATACATCCAGTGCACTGGCGGTATTATTACCCCGTAGTGATGATAGTTGCTATAATACGGAGTACATGTACAGATTATGTACTGCTGCAGTCTGCTGGACTCTACTATTCCTAGCACCTCCCCCCTCTACTCTATTTTTGCCTTGCGCCGCTCATCACCATTCGCCTTTCCAGCCACCGCGTCCGGGGCCCCCAGCTCATCACATTTCCTCTCTTACCCTCCTCTTCCTTCTCGCCATCCTGCTCATTTGTGCTTGTCCCCTTCAAGATATCGGGCTATCTCAGATACAGACCCCAACCACCATTTCGTCATCATTCGCGGGCAGGGCCTCCATTGCTCTGTAACTGTTCCTATGTCGTTTTTCTCCCCCTTCGTCACCGCTCTGATTCGATACCCACCCAACGAGATACATACACCCAGTGACAGCACACCCCTCCCTCGTCTCCCCCCCCCATCTCGCCCCTCCCGGTAAATCTACAGAATTCGTCGAGCAATAAGCACCGAGAAAGAGGAAGAGAGAGAGAGAGAGAGGAACCACACATCACGTCCCCCCTCATCCACACCCCACCCCTTTCTCTTTCTCGCCCTTTGCTGGCGAGCAAGACCGTCCGGCCGGTTTTATTGCCGTCCGTCCGTCATGACCACCGCTGCTGCCAACTCAGACGCCCAGCCAAACCAGCACGGCTCGTCATCGGCCTCCACCTCGCGACGCACCGCTCCATCATCATCCCGGTCCTACTCATCGTCTGCCAGACCCCCTCCCCTTCCATCGACGCCCAACGCCACCGCTCTCTCCTCCTCCAACAATAACGCCCCCCATCGCTACCACTACGACTACGATTACCAGCAGCCGTCTACACGTGATAACGCCGCCGCCGGGGACGACGACTCCAACTACCGTTCTGCCCACCACCACAGTCGCGTCTCTTCTACTTCGGCTGCTGCTGCTGCTGCTGCTGCTGCTGCTGCTGCACGCCACGACTACCCCGACGACGACGCCAACGACTATGCTTCGGGCACCGCCCACGTAGCCCGCCACCACTCCTCCAGCAGCAGGCGCGACACCAGCCGCGATCGTCAGATCCCCGTCAGGGGTCCTCCGCCCCCCTCGTCCTCGTCCGCGCCCCCCCAACAACCCTCCGACGGTTCCCCCGTCGCCTCCCGACCCCACAGACGGACGAGCAGCCGCACCAGCAGCGCCAACCCTCACGCTGCTGGTCATCATCGGAGCCAATCGTCTAGCCGTCCCGACACCCACCACCGTAGCCAGAGCCAGCAGAGGCACCAACATCGATCCGACATGCCTTCTGCAGACCGTGGTGACGCAGCCGGCCCTGCTGCCGGCCCTGGTACTGCCAACGTCCCCCCTCCCGCTCCTTCAGCTGCCGATGCCAACCAGCATTCGTCCCCCAAGCAGTCGAAATCCAGGACTACCATCCCTACACAGTCGGGAAAATGGATTCTGGGCAAGACAATCGGTGCTGGTAGCATGGGCAAGGTCAAGCTGGCGAGAAAAGAAGAGAGTGGCGAGCAGGTACGTTGTTCAGCCCCTTTCCCCTTGTCCATCCATCCCTCTCCCTCCTCTCACCCCTCTTCTTCTGGGTTTGTTTTGCCAGAGTGCCTTCTGACCGTTCTACTGCTCTAGGTCGCCTGCAAAATCATCCCTCGTGGCTCCACCGACGACGGCCACCTGAGCCGCGCCGACAAGGAGAGGGCCGACAACTCCAAGGAGATTCGCACCTCGCGCGAGGCCGCCATCGTCACCCTCCTCAATCACCCCCACATCTGCGGCCTCCGCGACGTGGTTCGCACAAACTACCACTGGTACATGCTCTTCGAATACGTCAACGGTGGCCAGATGCTCGACTACATCATCTCCCACGGCAAGCTCAAGGAGAAGCAGGCCCGCAAGTTCTCGCGCCAGATTGCCAGCGCCCTCGACTACTGCCACCGCAACAGCATCGTCCACCGCGACCTCAAGATTGAGAACATTCTCATCAGTAAGAATGGTGATATCAAGATCATCGACTTTGGCCTCAGCAACCTCTTCGCACCCCGGGGACACCTCAAGACCTTCTGCGGCAGCCTCTACTTTGCCGCACCCGAGCTCCTGCAGGCCAGGGCGTACACGGGCCCCGAGGTCGATGTCTGGTCTTTTGGAATCGTCCTCTACGTCCTCGTCTGCGGCAGGGTACCCTTTGACGATCAGAATATGCCCGCCCTCCACGCCAAGATCAAGAAGGGCATCGTGGTCTATCCTAGCTGGGTCTCGAGTGGTATGTTTCCCCTATTTCCGCATCTCCTAATCAGGGGGCTTCCATCCCGAGGACCTGCATCCCAAGGCCTCGTCAGCCCACTGCTGCATATCCCAATGCTTACCCCTCTGCAGAATGCAAGCATCTCATATCGCGAATGCTCGTCACCGATCCCAAGCAACGAGCCACCATGCAAGAGGTCATGTTCCACCCGTGGATGACGAAAGGTTTCAACGGCCCTCCTGACAACTACCTCCCTGTTCGCGAGCCTCTGATACCTCCCCTGGAGCCCGAGGTCATCCATGCCATGCAGGGGTTCAACTTCGGCTCCCCGGAGACGATACGTGCCCAGCTCCTCCGCACCGTTGAGTCCGACGATTACCAGCGCGCCATCAGGCTGTACCTGCGCGAGAGGGAGGCCCCTCAGCCTGCCAAGGAGGCCGAGAAGAAGCGCGGCTTCGGCCTCGACTTCTACAAGCGGAGGAGCTCGCAGAACAGCCGGGACACCTTGACGATGCCCAGCTCCGAGGCGCTCCAGCTGGGCACCGACCCCATGAACGCCTTCAACCCACTCCTCTCCATCTACTACTTGGTCAGGGAGAAGCAGGAGCGTGAGCGCACAGACGTGGTGCCGCCCCCGACTGCAGTGGCACGCGAGAAGGAGAGGGAGAAGGAGCGTGAGCGTGAGCGTGAACGTGAGCGTGAGCGTGAGCGTGAGCGTGATCGTGATCGTGATCGTGATCGCGAACGCGAGCGCCAGAAAGAGAGGGACGCCGAGATCATGCCCAAGTTGGCACCGCCTCCCTCGGCTCTCACCAACTCGGCAGCCTACGAGATGCCGGGCGAGAAGCCCACCGGTGGGCGCACCCGCCCTCGCGCCCGCACCCACGGCGAGGAGGACGCCCCGGAGAACATCAAGGGAGGTCACCTGGCTCCTCCCGAGCCCAGGTCCGACAAGAAGGAGGGTGCTGCTGCAGGTCTCCTACGGCGGTTCAGCACGCGCAAGCGCAGGGACCCCGAGCGCGTCGAGAGGGACCGGTCACACCCTCCCGTGGTGCAGGTCCACACGCCGCCCGGCAACGCTGCGCTGACTCCGAGGAAGAGCTTCAGTGTGCGGCGCGGGCGGCGCGAGCGGGACGGCACCGAGCAGTCGCCTCTCCGGTCCGGAAGCAGCCAGCCGCATCACCGAGAGCTGCTGAGCCCTCCCCAGTCGTCGGGCGGCCCCAGGGACTCGCGCAGGGGCAGCGGCCTGGGCAGGTCGACGAGCGTCAACTCGGCCGATGTGCGGCGCCACCAGTCTACGCGCCTGTCCAAGGAGCCACCTCTGCCCGATAACTCCGAACAGTCGATAGCGGCGGCGGAGCAGGCAACCCACGGGCGGTCGACGGGGCACGGGCACACGCGGTCCGTGTCGATGAGGGCCAAGTCTCTCGGTCACGCGCGCCGCGAGAGCATCCAGCAGCGCCGGCAGAGGCTCGAGGAGGCGGCGGCGGTCAACGACGCCAACGTTGTGGAGGAGACGGACCCGGAGCTGGAGCAGAGCGGACCGTCGTCGGAGCGGCTGGACAGCTCGGAGCTGGCCAAGCCCGTCTTCCTCAAGGGCCTGTTCAGCGTGTCGACAACGTCAGGCAAGTCTGTGCCGGCCATCAGGGCGGACATCAAGCGGGTGCTCAAGCAGCTCAGCGTCGAGTACGACGAGATCAAGGGTGGCTTCAGCTGCCGACACGCGCCCAGCATCGACCTCGGCAAGGCGCAGCAGCAGCAACAGCCGTCCCCCTACCAATCGCTGGACCAGCAGTCGGGATCGATGATGAGCCCGACGTCAGCGACGCCGGGTGGCAAGCCGCGGTTCAGCCTGGGCGGCCTCCGTCGCGGCGACGACCGCGACCGCGATGAGCAGCCCGAGAGGTCACCGACGACGCCTCGCACCCCTATGCGGCCATCGATGACGGCGGAGCAACGGCACGACCAGGACAGGGACAGGGACAGGGACAGGGACAGGGACAGGAGCTACTCCAACTCTGACGCGTCAGTGGACAGCATCCCGCGCAGGAACACGGGTGGGACGCGTCGTGCCCCCGGAGAGACCAGCACGCAGGTGCAGGCGGACCTGGGAGACAGCATGGTGCTCGAGTTTGAGATCTTCATCGTCAAGGTTCCGCTCCTGTCGCTGCATGGGATCCAGTTCAAGCGCATGGCCGGGAACACGTGGCAGTATAAGAATATGGCGGATCATATACTCAGGGAGTTGAGGTTGTAGTCCGGTCACGACGGGAGAGCGGCCTATACGTTCTGGACTCTATGATGTATCTTCTTCTCCTGCAACACAGGAATTGTCTCTTTTTTATTTCTTTCTCGTCTCTGCGCTTTCTGATTTTTCCATTTGTCTGTTTCTCTCTTGGGCGACAAGTTGCTTACTAGTTCTACTCTCTCTCTCTCTCTCTCTCTCTCTCTCTCTCGTGCTCCGTTTGTTTCATCTTTTTTATTTATTCTTGTGCCTCTTTCGAGAGGGGATGTGTGAAAAGAAATGGATAGTGGTAAACAAAAGTAGGCATATAAACATTTAAATAATATCCTATACAAGCACGGTGTTGCTTTATTTATCCCCCCCCCTTTTATATTTCCTTTGTGTGTGTCTGTTCCATCTACCAGTAGATTTCCTGTTGACATATGATGACTGACGTATATCGATTGATGTGTATGTGAAGTGGTGATATATAAAGTGACGATAATGTCGGTGAGTGGTGAGAATATAGAATGTGCATACGGGGTAGGATTAGAGAGTGATGAGAGTATGATGATCAATATACAGTGATGAGAGTATTCTATATTATATATACAGGGTCTTGACAATATATAATCTGTACAGATTACAGAGTGATGAAAATAATATTACAACATAATAATAAATCTCCGTACTCCGTATAGAGAGTGGTGAGAAGGGGGGAAGAAACGCATCATGATTGGCTCAGATGCACAGTCAGCATCACTACCACCTCAGCTCTCCCTCGCGAAAGAGCGCAGCGCACCGGTTGGGCCCTTTTAGCGGCAATTGTCATACCTTCGGACTTCCCTTTTCCCTTCCTCTCCCTCACATTCCCTTTGCCTCCCGCCTCCCCCCACCCCCCAACATCAATTTGATCGAAACCCTTGTGGTCTGGTTCTGCGCAACGGCAAACAGTACATCTGACATCTCTCTCTCTCATCTCTCTCTCATCTCTCCCTCACTTTCTATTTTTTTGGTTCCTCTCCCCCCCCCCTCCCCCCCCAAAACACCCTGGTTATTACACTGTGACGAACCCCACTTCTTCTTCCTCTCCTCACATTCATTTGGACCTGATCAGACTAGTATCCATCTACCTACATTCCTTTTGTGTGTTTGTGTGTGTGTGTGTGCTTGTTTGTTTGTCCGACCTACTACCTCTCTCGATCCTCCCCAATCTCCTCGCATCTTGCAGGGTTGTTATTTCTGTCGCAAGCGATACAGAATAGCGCGTCGACCGAAAACGAGAAATCCCGAGTACATATCTTTCCGAACAGAAGACGATTACATCGAAGAAGACATACGAATACTTCCACGGTTCCGCTACGTCAGTCGGTCTACGACCGGGGGAAAGATCGAGGCTGTGTACAGAAAAATATTTTTTTTGAAAAAAAAAAAAAGGAAGAAAGAAGAATACTTGTTGCGAAAGTCGAAAGTCGAAACTTGAACAGAAGGACAGGTGCATGCATCGTCAGAATACATTGGCCGCCAAAATGATGCCCTCGGCACACATGTACGGGCATCATCACCAATTTGCCGCCCCGCAACAGGCAGATTCACCATGGATGCAGCAGCAGCAGCAGCAGCAGCAGCAGCAACAGCAGCACAGTGGCCATCACGCCCAGCAGCAGCAACAACATGCTCAGCAGCAGCACTATAACCGCATGGCTGCCCTCGGTGCACACGCTCAGGATGGTGGCGGTGGTCCGCCCCCCCCGCCTCCGCAATCCCAGCAGCAGCAGCAGCAGCAGCAGCAGCAGCAGCAGCAGCAGCAGGTGGCCTCGGTCGATACCGTGTCCGAAGAGAACCGTCGTACCATGGCTTACATTGCCGATCTGCTCAATGAGAATACGCGTGAGGCGGCTCTGCTCGAACTCAGTAAGAAGAGGGAGCAGGTTCCTGAGTTAGCGCTCATTCTGTGGCATTCGTTTGGTGGGTCCCTTTCTCTCCCTTCACTGATGTGATGGCTCCTTCTCTCTTTTGGGAATTTTCATATGCCGGTCTGGTGCTGCGGCGACTTGTAGCTGACTGATGACAGGTGTCATGACCTCACTCCTTCAGGAGATCATCTCCGTCTACACACTTCTCAGCCCGTCGCAGCTGACGGCTGCCGCATCGAACCGCGTCTGCAATGCCCTGGCCCTCTTGCAGTGCGTCGCGTCGCACAACGAGACCAGGACCTTGTTTCTCCACGGTATGCTTGTTTCCTCCTGTCCTCTCCCTCCACGTTGTCGTCGGGAAGAGAGGGAGGACGGTCTTTGGTTGGGGAGCATCGATCTGACTGAGAGAATCAAACAGCCCACATCCCCCTCTTCCTCTATCCCTTCCTCAACACGACGTCCAAGTCTCGGCCTTTCGAGTACCTCCGCCTCACCAGTCTCGGCGTCATCGGCGCTCTGGTCAAGAACGACTCGTCCGAGGTCATCAACTTCCTGCTCACCACCGAAATCATCCCCCTCTGCCTCCGCATCATGGAGACGGGCTCCGAGCTTAGCAAGACGGTGGCCATCTTCATCGTGCAGAAGATCCTCCTCGACGACAACGGCCTCAACTACATCTGCGCCACCTACGAGCGCTTCTACGCCGTCGGCACCGTCCTCAGCAACATGGTCACCCAGCTCGTCGAGTCGCAGACGGCCCGCCTCCTTAAGCACGTTGTCAGGTGTTTTCTCAGGTTAGTCACGTCGCCGGATATCTGCAGTCGAGGCCATTGCGGTCAAGGGTTTTCTGAGTCACGAGACGTCGCAGTCACGAGACGGCGATACTTTGAGGACAAGAAACGTGATTCTAACGAACGACAAACTAAACCAAAAACAGACTCAGCGACAATGCTCGTGCTCGCGAAGCACTTCGTCAGTGCCTGCCCGAACCTCTCCGCGACGCAACCTTCTCCTCCGTCCTCCGAGATGACGCCGCCACCAAGCGATGCCTCGCCCAGCTCCTCATCAACCTCTCGGACAATGTCGTCGAGCCCAACTCTGCAGGCATGGCCAGCATGTAGAATCCGATACAGGGAGCGGCAGCCTGCGGGACGGTCGAGAGGACAACGACGGCAGCAAGAGAAGAGGTACTCCCAGAAGAAGCTCGTCGGGAGGGTATGCAAGGGAGAGGAATGTTATCTCGGCCCACGAGATATCAGGCATGGGCCGTTTCCGTCCTCCCACTCCCTCTCCCCCCCGGTCTGATCAGGCTCTGGGAGGACGTCTTGGTCTGATTTCATTGTGACACTATGGGAAACAAGGGAAAAGGGAACGGAAAAAGGCGGGAAAGCGGGACGTACATCGATGCTTGTTTTTTTCTTTACGCACATGGTACTGGACCGGCGTGGCGTTTTGGGTTTCTAGCAGGCTTTCCTTCTCCTCTCTGGGACATGTACCCGTGCTTTGCTCGGCGAAGCATAGGGAGCCGCCATGGCTGATCAAAACCGGTGAACCTGAACAAGCCAGTTCCCACTGTGGGATGGGTGTTTTGGATGGGATGACTCGGTTGATCGTCGGGTGCTGTAGTCAAGATCCCCGGACACCGATGGAGCTTTCTACTCGAATCTCGGAAGAAACCAAGGTTCACGAGAGAGAACCTGTGTACCCTCCGAACCACTCGTCTTCCCCCTTTTCACTTCCGGCGTTGTTGAGTTTTTTTTCTCTTTTCTTTTTTTCTTTTCTATCTTATCGTGGTATTCATATCTGGAGCTTCGGAGAAGGAGAGTCTGCAATCTCCTTACCAATCGCTAGGGTGTTGTCTTTCTTTTTTTTTTAGAGCATGATACTATATGTACGTGGCATTTATACGATGGGAAGCATGGCATGTGGAGAGGAGAAAGGATGGATGAATCTCTGGTTATTTCTCCTCCTTTTTTTGTTTTCCTTTCTTCTTCTTTCTTCTTCCTTCTTTCCCGACTTTTGTTATCTTGACTCTTTTCTTCCTTTGCATTGTTTTGGTTTGGGCGGGTTGAGGAGGTCGGTTTGAAAGGGAAACGGAGGGTTCGAGGATCAGGTCAAGGTCAAGATGGAAAGGTCTTGTATAAGGTGTGAATTACTGGGTTTTTTTTTTTTTTGCTGGTGATTCAACTGCATGGCCTTGGTGTAAAAGATGAAGGGGGTATGTGGTGGCTCGGTGTGGTTAGAGGAAGAAGAAGAAAGAAGAAAAACAGAGAGAGATTTTGTAGGAGTCATGATATCAAGGAGCTTTTTTTTTTCTTTTCTTTTTTTCTCTTCTGTTTTTTTTTCTGGGGGGGGGGGAGTTTAAGAAAAAATTCTATTCCTTTCTCTTGTTAGATCATCGTGGCGTTGGGGGAATAGGAAGTGGTAGGGAATAGTAACTGGTCAATACATTGCTTTGATGCGTATGAATAGTCTGTGTCCTTGTAATTGTAGGATTCGCTGGATGTAGAGGAGGTTCTTTCTACTGAGGTTGTCCTTATGGGCTGTTGCGAATATTGTACGAGTACAGTACACACACACACACACACATAATATATATATATATATATATATACACTTGAAAGGTATACCATCATGATATAAAGATGAAGAAACCCATCTACGTCGCTCTCAGGATAGAAGTATAGGGTAATATGAATTGGAATAAGGTTTTCGCGTAGAATTTGTAAGATGCCAAAGTCATCAAGATGGCAGATGATGATTAATGCTCCTCTTCCGAAACCAAGTAGAAACCGGTATGACTCACTAGGGAAAGGCATCTTTGAGACAACGCACACCCACTCCCCAATCTGAGGACCAAGATATCAGGGCAGAGATTTGAGGCCATTGGAAAAAAAATGAAAAATGAAAAAAAAATAAAAAAATAAAAAAAAATGAAAAATGAAAAATGAAAGAGAGAAAAAAGAAAGGTTCGTGACGATGACGACGACAGGGTCCAACTCAGGAACATGTTGGATGGATGGGCCATCATGCCCTGGTGAGGAGGAGGAGGAGGAGGGTTGAGGGGGGACACATAACACATACAATAATCCAATCCGAAGAGGTGCATGTATCATGTACCATCCATCACTAATTAAGGGTAGAGATCGTTGAAAGGGGGGGGGGGAAGAGATGGAGAGAGATGGAGAGAGAGGAATCTTACCTCTTGGCCGCAAAACAGAGTTGAGGGGGAGGGGGGGGGGGGGGGGGGGGGGGGGGGGGGTTTCCTGTTCTCATGAGGTGCGTGTGTGTGTGGGATGGGCGGTTAAAGCCTGCAGGACATGTACACGTGGTGAATAATACTAGGTGTGGATTGTCATTCTGGGATTGTATGGTGAGGACGAGCAGTATATCATCTATACATGCATATATATATATATATATATAAGAGAGGTAACGGAGATGAATTGGAAGATTAGGTCAAGAGGAGAGAGAGAGAGAGAGAGAGACTGTAGACTGTACGCAATCGAGGAGGGGGGAAAAAGGTGAAGAGAATTGATTCAGGACAGTGTCAGTCATCGGCACTTTCCCATCAAGATTTTCCCCGACTGCCGAGATGGATTATAACGGGTAATGGTACTCTCTCTCTCTCTCTATTATATTACACAGACGAGCCCCAGCAACAATGGCCAGGTGCCGGCCGCCGGTTAGGCTGTGTTTCCGGAAAAGCCTCTTCCGTCTGGGAACCAAAGTTTTTTTTTTTTAAAAAAAAAAATTAGTCTTTAATTTTTTTAGTTTTTAATTTTTATATATATTTTACCAATAGCATGGGAGCACGGGTGCTCGTACAACCAACCGATAGTCGGTCACTCTTGGGTCTTGGCTAAAGGGGTGAGGGGGGAGGGGGGTTCCCCTAGGGCCGCTGAGGAGTCGGACCCCACGAGGAGAAGGGGGGCGGCGGACGAGGTGGACATTTTCACAAAGTCCGGTTATCCTGCGCCAAGTGATATACTACGAGTATGTGATGATACCATGTACGGGGTACCGGGTGTACTAAACTAGTCTATACTCGTAGTATCATTATCTCTCTCTCTCTCTCTCAGAGATTGTATACGGGGTTTGCGTCAGCGTACGGGTTTTAAGAGTTTGGGTAATGCCAAACCCGATTCTCTAGTATAGTAAGTCAATGGCCTCTTTCTTTCCTCTTCTTCCCCCCCCCTCTTTCTTTTTAGAATCTAATTTCAATTTTATAGTATTTTTTTTTTTTTCCCCTTCTTCCTTCTCCTCCCATTCCCATACGATCGGCAAGTCACGTTACTCCATCACAACCAAGAAGACACCTGACAACTATTGCTTACTTGCAGGGAAGGACCGGACATGTAACGCAGGAAACAACTACAACGAAACCTAACTCCGACTTCACCACTCGTATTCATAGACTTGTAAGTGGTCAGCTGACCCTCCGACGGGTTTAATCCCCTCTCAATCCCGTAAATCCGCAGTCCGGGCTAAATTCCTCGTCTCTCTCATGAAGAAAATAGTCGATAGTCGCTACGGATACGGATACAAACCTGTAGGGAATTCAACCCAAGGAAGTAGTATTAATACTAATTAAACTGCGAGTACGGATTACATATTACCAGCAGCATGTATACATGTATCCCGAAGAAAACAGGGGTATCGGAGGCTACCCAAATAATATATGGAGAACCAGAACAACGAATAGATATACAGATTATATATATATAATATATATATATCTGTATACTCGTATATATATTCAAAAATGTCAAACCAAATGGCGCGCGCTAATCAGTCTTCCCTGAACCTACCTGCCCCCCCCCCCCCCCCCCCCTCCTGCCCAGTAAAGCCAACACATGGTCATGTTTTTTTATTTTTTATTTTTTATTTTTTTTCATTTTTTCAATTTTTTATTTTTTCATTCTTATTTTTTTTTGGGGGGAGGGAGATTGGAATACCACCCTCCTTGAAATTGAAACTTTCCAAGTGTTACAGCCCTGTACCAATTTGGGGGGCCGTGAGGATCATTCAAATTGTTGGTTGAGAGGGGAATTCGCTCCAAGAGAGAGAGAGAGAGAGAGAGGTACGACCGACCCGCATTAGGAAATCGCCGGACGAGGGTCATCCATCATCACCATGGATATTGCCGAAACCCTGCATCGATGCCGTCGTGTTGCCTGTCACACCAAAGCCCCCCCCCCCCCCCCCCCCCCCCCCCCTTTTTTTTTTTTTTTTAAATTCTTCTTCAACAGGAGAGAATAGTATCATCATTATTACGACTAACAGGAGTGAAACCTGTCCATAACCCCCGCGCATCTTCCGTTCCCCATCCCATCGGCAATACTTGATCCTTTTACAACTTCACAAGGACTCGGGTATTCGAAGAAAGCGTCTTTCTTTCTCCCTCTCTCCCTCCCCCCCCCTCCCCCTTGTATCGGTCAGATGGGGACTCGCTTGGTTGTAATAAAGATACGTGTACTCGTAGACCTAGGGGAGGCAGGCGTGTCAGGTTATCTGTACTATACGTGTACGGAGTTACTACTGCCACTACTACTACTGCCATTACTACCATTGCTACCGTTGCTACTATTACTACTATTACTACTATTACTACTATTACTACTACTACTACTACTCTTGCCCCACAGCTCTGAAATCCGACTTGACTAGTCAAGTTATTCGTCGATAACCGGTACCGTTACCGTTCCCCAACTTACTCTATACCTCTTCCCCTCCCCCCCGGTAAATGAATCAACTTGCAAATCCCAACCTCTGTCGATACTAGACTCTAGCAGCACCAGTAGCAGCAGCAGCCGTACTAGTGCGAGTACGTATATACGTACAGGCTCAACGACAGTCCATGCAATACGTTCCATCGTTCCATATGCCGGGCGTCGCTTGGCTTGCATAGACGCCACGCAACTGCTCGCCTCGCCTGGCCTCCTCCCCCCAGTCACCCACCCCTCTTCCCCATGACCCATGACTCATGACCCATGCTTCTCGTTCTTGAGCCAATGCTGTGCTGTTTCCTGTCTGTACCCGGTTTCCATTCATTTCCCACCCAATCGAAAACGATTAAAAAAAAAAAAAAAAAAACAGACCTTTTTTGGAAAGGGGGGGG